CAAAAATCCTCTCTGATCGGCGCAATCTTGTATTCTATCATTCTTGGATGCCAAAGACGCGGGCACCCGAACAGACAACTGTTCGCAGAAGAGCCCTCGCCAAGGCAAGGGAGGAGATGCCTCCTCTCTACGGACGAAGTCCAGAGGTTCATAAAACAACCTCCGGATCCAACTGCATACCGAAAGGCCTTGAACTGCATTCACTGGGAGTAGATCTCTAGTTACATAGACTCCCCACCTGGATACTGCAGCAGGCTAAACTCGTACATGAGCACAGTGAACGCAGATGTATCCAATGAGTGCTCGGCATGCGGAGAATCGCCACATGTCTCACGGCACCTCTTTGCATTCCCCCAAAACCCCAGCCAGCTAACGTCCCTGTCCTTATGGGCAGCCCCTGTTGAAGTTGCGCACTTGCCGGACCTTATAATCCTAGGGGTTTATGAAAAATCCAACAGAATTATTTAGGACGCTAAGGACATTTTACACCTTGCAACTTTTGTCGCCGCAAGATATGTAGACGTCATAAAATTCTACTCACGATTATTTATGCTGCAAATATGTCTAAAACTATTTATAATATTCTTTAAGGTGGTATGAATGACGGCAATAAAACGTTTACGTCACAATGGATGTTGTTGTTGTTGTAGCGTTACGCACTACTAGCGGTAAACCCAGGAAGCGTGCAGTCTCGATAGGGTCTGTCCATATGGACAGAGGCGTTAGCATGGTGGGGTTCATTGGGTATGCGAAGAGATGCTGCTCACATGGATTTCTCTACGGCTTTCACTTCCGGTAGCTTAGCTTTTAAGTATTGTATTTTCGAATTACTCAAATTTCACCTGCTTGAATTCAAAAGATATGGACGCTTTTCGTAAAATGGACCCATTCACAACAGTTGCTGAGTCCTCAAAATTTTTTAGACCTAAATTTGTTCAAATTCTTCCAACAGACAAATGATGATACAAGATTTTCTTGCTCTGATTCTGAATCCGTTAACAACATTTTTGTAGTTTTTCTGATCTAAGCGAAGGATCCCATTCAATAATATGAAGCAAGGTCCACACAACACCCAACACCTCTTCCCAATCACCTCCAACCCGACGTCCTTGACACTGGAGGCATTATAAACTGCCAGTAACGACATCGCCCGCTTCCTCTGCCTCAGCCTTTCCAAGTCAAAAGATGCAGAAGACGACTCAGAACGACACCTCGTCTCGATCTAACGAAATATTTGTTACGATGCATCATAAATAGATTGAAATTGCGGTAGTAGCTCGATATATGAATGTAGACAGCTCAAAATATATTAGGTATAGCGTTTTTGTAGATAGTTCCCAATATTCGAACATGGATCAGTTCACAGAAAATTAAAAATTCAGTTGCAATGCGTATTGTATGAGGAAGAAATGCTAATAAACGGGCAATAAGAGGGCGCTAGAGATGTAATTTCATCTCTTAGGAGCATCCTAAATTAGTACGGTTCAAGTAATAGGTACCATAAGTTATTTTTATATTTATTTTATAATTGAAAACTCTGAGCTTTAATCAAGTAATTTCAGCTCGAAATGTACATTACCTTATTGGAGGTCTAAAACGTAATTTCTTTCAGTGAATGTCATTTTATAACAAGCAAGTATAATAAATTAAATTAATTAAAATTTATTTAGGTGCAATTGATTAACATTTCCCTTTTTTCCCGTTCAAGTGACTTACTGCACAAATGGGAAATGCGGTGAAAATGTTTGTCAATAAGTCATATTCTCCACCTTAGGGAAACAATTAAATTTCTATAACCTGAGTTGCTGTTGGATTTACTTCCTGATAACTTTCCAACGCTTCCACTTCGATCGGTTCCATTTTGATTCCAACACCTTTACGTTCGTGGGTCATTTTGTGATTACGCAACTTGTAAGCCTGCTGGAATCCTTTGCCGCAAATATCACAACTAAGCAAAAAGAAAAAATGTGTTCATGAATAGATATCCATATGTATATATGTATGTGTGTATGGAAAAATGTAAAACTTACACATGTGGCTTCTCGCCTGTGTGAATCATCTTATGGAATTTTAAGGTGTTTGTATACGTAAAGGACTTGCCGCAAACATCGCACACGTACGGCCGCTCATTTGTGTGAATGCTATGGAAAATCATAGAATCAAAATGTTTTAATCAAAGTTTTGCAAAATACTTGAAGAAAATGGCTATAAGAAGTTTTTTTCGTCTCCTGTAAAATTTTTAAATTTGGACTTAGCAACTTTGCCATCTAAGCTAGCGATATTTATTAAATCAGACAAATTTTAAAGTAAAACATTTTTTAAATTGTATTTAAAGAACCATCTGATTGGAGAACGTATACTTCACATGTAACAATGTACATAAATACCAGGTACTTTTAAAAGTAATGATTAATAAAAAAAACATTAAACAAAAATATACAAAACCAATTTCTCTAAACATGTTTATTCTATTTTATAAAGAAATGGCGAATGGCGAATTTTTTACAATTTTTTCGCAATTAAATCGAGTTTCAAAAACAAAAAAATGTTTACCCTTATATGAATCTTTAAGGCTGTGTGTAGATGCACGTAAGTATGTATTTATGTTATTGGAAAGAAATCTTTGCTGAATGCCTTTGCAAATATACTGCGTTCAATAAGACTCAAAGAACAACCTAAAATAAGAGTCCGAATGTAATAATTTATGAGGACGATAAGATCCTAGGATATGAGGCCAAAATTTGTTTTAAAAGATTCCAAAATGAGCCGCATATTGAGGCTCATTTGATGTATGAATTTATGCTCATATAAGTCGACCTTCGGAGGAAGGGAAACACCTCATATCCGACTCTTAAATGAGCTCATTATGAGCGAAAATGCCCGTAATTGCACTCCTTAAAGACTCATTTTAGACTTCAATTGTTTGCTGAGAAGCAACGTCGGAAAACTTTGCTGTCGAGTTATAACTTAGATAATACGCACCGATGATGTTTATTGCGAGTGGAAAGATCGGCAAAAGCTGCTGGACAATAGCTGCATTTATATGGCCGATTTCCGGTGTGTGTATTCATGTGACGCGTCAATTGCTGTGTCTGTGCGAAGCAATGTCCACAAATTCTGTAATCGAATGCCACAAAATTTATATGATGTAAACATTTTCCTGTTTAAAACAATACTTACTCGCACTCATGTGGTTTTATACCCTTATGCAATTTTATGTGCTCGGTCAAACGCCCCTGCGATGGATAGATATTTCCACATATATCGCAGATGTAGGTTGTGGGTTTAATTTTTTTTGGTTTTGGGCCACGCTTGGCTGGTGAACATTTTTCTTTCTTGATTACTGGTTGCCGAGCTGCCGCTTGTTTTGATGTCGATGCTTCCGGTCTACTTAAATTCTTAGGTGGTCGTCCTCTACCGCGCTTCGGTGTTTCTTCTTTAATTTGTACATAATCCTCATCATCATCATCATATTGGAATTCATTAATTTCTTCTAGGTACTCTACTCCATCCGACATAGCCGAAGCTGAACGCTATAATTGTCATCATAACTAAATTATACGAGTTACTTATTTCATAAATTCCTACTTACATCAATTGTATCGAATTCCTCAAACACCTCCTCTTCCTCGTCAATTGGCACATAAATGTCCAAGACCTCTGCCTCCTCTGGATCGGAGTATTCCTGTTTGATTTGAGCAGCATCTGGTTCTACTTTTAAAGCTATCTCCTCTACTTCATCTACTTCAATTGGTAAATAGTCTGTAACTTCCTCCTGTATGTGGGTATCCACCACAACTGGCGCTATAAATCTACTAAGATGTCTGTGTGAGCGTTGGCAAATAACGCGAAATTTGTACGCCACTTGTAAGTACTTCAGACATTTGGTACATATTTTATCCGGATAGTGGTCGTAACGTTTTATCTGCAAAGAAATACATTGGATAATAATTGTTGACAAACACAACCCCTACGGAGGCGCTGGCACTGATGGCCGCTCCGCGCGCAGCTACATGAAATACGCACTGGTACCCCGCCACACTCCAAAATCATTTGCGTCATATCTTTTTCATCATCCTTATCGAATATTGTCGTCATCGTCTCTTCGGGCTGCCTCAGACAAACCCGGCAAACAATCCAATTTTCGGTTAAACTAGTCTTCATAACTAATTATTGCTATTTTGATTTTTTTGTGTGCCACTGCACCCAGTAAGACGTTTGTTTTTGAGAAAATTTTACAATACGAGAACGCTGTGACGTGATGCCAGTCCGCTTTTCACCTTTTGACAACAAATGGTAGCCGATGTCCTGTCCGAACGAATTCGGGTTCAGTTGGCAGCGCATATACAGGGTTGATTTTATATTCAGTTAAGTACAAAAAAAG